GATGTGGAAACTCATGATCACCTTGTCATCCTTCTAACTCTCTCTCTCTCTTTCTATCTCTGTTTCTCTTGTTCTGCTTTTCACACACACACACACACACACACACACACACACACACACACACACACACACACACACCACCACACACACACACTCATAAACATAAGCATGCACAGGCAGGCTGTGACTCATTCTATCAAAGAATGACTGGACTTCAAGGGATACCGTGCTGCTTCATCTGAAACGTGACTGGTCATGATGAAAGCATTGACCATATCTTGTAAAGTTCCTGCTCAATGACTCAAACTCAAAATGTGTCACAGTTACACTGTAACTATTCACAAAACAAACACATATTTTAGGAAAGCAAACAGAGCATATCTAACATGCATTTGTGAATAGTCAGAATTTTAATTTCCGCTTAGACAATGGCCTTAGTGAAACCGAATAATGTCAACGCCAAGTTCTTATAATGTTTGGGCTTTTCAGGCCTACAGCGTAGTAGTGAGTAAAGGCAACTCATAAGTAAAACATGCAGATACTAGGGAGGTCAGGCTAGGCAGACAATTGAATCCAGCTTTTTTTTAACGCTCATAGCTAAACTCCAGAGGCAGTCTCAAATCGTACACAACTCCCATTCCTCGACCTCCTCCATGGCTGCCAGAACGCATGTAGGCCTACCTCCCATTTGACTGTGTCACTGAGGCCCAGCGCATCATGAGCGCCACCCACACAAACGCATCCTTTTTCATCTTCATTTGCTTTGGTAGGCCAATCAACCAATACAACTCTCGCTATGCCCCATTTATGCTTTTGATTACAAAAGCAGCGTTCTGACTCCAAAACAGGTGGTGTGCAGAAAACGAAGAAAATCTTGAACATGAGCTGAACAAAACTAGCCTGATTTCCACCCCAGTATAAGAAACACATGTACTAAATAAGGAATCATAAAACAGAATCGAGGACAAAAAAAGTTTGCTTGTTGAGATGAGTGGGGAGTTGTGGAGCCATTTAGGTGCAGTGTCAGGCCAGTCAGGGCTCTCAGTCAGAGTGGTAAAGTAGGGAGGGGGGGGGAGGGGAGGGGCTGTGGTAGCAAAAACTAGTTAGCGGGCCAAGCAGACACACAGTCGGATGGCCAATGGCGTGTGGTGCAGCAGGCGTCTAGTGGATGACTCAGGGATTACAAGCAAGGAATGACTGGGGATTGGACACCAGGAACTCACTACACTATACACCACATCAAGGTGAAGTTAGAGGAACCCATGTGGCCAACAGAGAGACTTTGTGAACAGAGGAAGAAAGGGAAAGGAGGGGGAGGAACACTTGAGAAGGAATTGTGTGAGTGGGTGGGTGAATGATTGAAAAATACTTGTCTGGTACCAACAAAGCTTGTTAATGCTTTATTTCCCCAGCCAAGGAACATATTTTCCTATGTTTTTGTTGTTGGCTTTTTGTGAAATGGGACTAAAAAGAGAAGCTGTGAAGCGACAAATTGTTTTGATCTCTTGTTATTTTGTAACTATACTATTCACTGCAATCAAATCGGCCACACCTTGAAAGGTCTTTCTTTCTCCATCCCTCAAACACCCAACCCCCTCTCTCACTCACACCATATGCTTACTATTTAGCAGACTGATGTATCTGGTACCAACACGCCTTGCTTTATGACTAAGCTTCATAAGCAAGGATTAAGGCGTGTAGTCACCAGGGAAGCATCGAGATAGGACACACGCGGTATAATGGTTTTATGTTTATATGGGCAACACGGAAAATGACGGGCTGTATGACAGACCAATGAATGAAACACCGACTGAATGGAGGGATAACCCATTTGATGTAACACAGTGGCTTACTGAACAACATGGGGATGGAAAAAAGACAGGGTCATTGTGGAAACTCAAAGATAGCTCCTTTACTTCTATTCGCCCAGTCTGTTGACAAGTCTGACCAGCACAGGGAGGCCCATTGAGGAAGCTGGTATCAGTTGCCCTCTAGGCATATTCATGGCCTGGTCAAACACTACCCAGTGACATTTGGGTGACTAATTGAGTTTTGATCCGGCAAATCATATCGTCCTCATTTTGACATGGTGCACATTAGACGAGAAACCGACCGGTTTTGCTCTATTTGGCCCGATGCATTGACAGACCACATCAAGAGGAACCTGGATCACCCAAACAGTGTTTGCACAGCTGCCAGGCAGCCACGCACACTCAAACATTGGCATATATTACACAGCGCTACTGAAGGAGTGCTGACACAAACAAACCAAAGCAAAAACCTGATCTTATGTAACAACCCCTGTTCTGACACAAGCTACGTACCACTCTCCACAACCATACCAAACGTAGGAGGCACCTTGGAAAAGAAAATCAGTGAACCTTTTCAGAGGGTTTTTCGTGTGGCATGTATGTGCTTGTGTGCATAGTGTATGTGGCGGGCGTGGAACAAGATGCCTTATAAGGGCTCTCAGAAGAAGCATCAGGCATGCCATAACAAACATCAGCGTTTTTGATCAGATAAAAGTGAGACTCCCACTCAAGCTCCTGCTATGCCTCCATGCATGCCACCCAGCGGGGCATGCTCACAAACATTCCTGTCAGTCACTGAACCTCGACCTTCAGGCCTGACGAACAGAGAAAGAAAGTAAAAGATGGACGACTCACTCAAGTTTAAAGCGGGCAACTCCTTGTATTGTAAATGATTGACAAGTCTCTTGAATAATAAATCTATTATCGGTTAACGCCAGAACAAGGTTACTTGAGTATACTTTAACACTCATAAGAACTTCAGCAATACAAGAGCACTTGTACTTTCCTGTCAGTCGTTGTTCACAATCCAACACCTTCCCTGTTAAGTAATACCCTCTCCTATCTGTAAACCTTGTCTCTGTAGAGCTGAGAGTTTTGTTATGGCTACATGATGCTTTCAATAATAAAAAAAAAAGCTACCATGGTCTGGGTTACATTGAAGTAAGTGTGCTGTGTCAGGAATTGACTGTTATAACTGAACAGAGGAATAAAAGCTTTGTGGAACTTAAGATGGCTTGTTAGGGGGCACCTATGACCCTGGCACAGTGTGAGCGCTTTAAAAGGAATTACCTCCGCTGCATGGAGAGAGGACAGGCCTTGGGTAAGCTGACACTGACTTCACTTCCGTCGCAAAAGAAAACAAACAAAATAGTAAGGTGGGTTTAGCTACTTAAGCCTGTTAGTGGGGTATGCGTGTATGTACAGTATGTGGTTGCAGGTGTTTAGAGAGAAAAAAGACAGCATTTGAAGTTCCCAAAACTGCCATGTCCAATGCTGATATCACAAATCCAACAAATGCATTCTGGCCTTCTGTGGAGCACTTATCGCTCTCAGCAAGTTTTAGGCAAAGAGCCTGTCATGGTCCTTAACAAGCCTGCAACACTGAACATCCCTGTTTTGTATTATTAAGATCAGGAACAGCCTTGGACATTGGTAGAACACTTATCTAGTGAGCATGGAAATACCAAGGAGTGAACAGAACAGTGTGTGTCTGTGTGTGAGAGAGAGGTGGGGAGAAGAAGTGTTTGTGTGAAGTTGTGATCTGCTACTTGGCAGCCTCAGCCTGACCCAAGTAAGAGTATGGAGCGAGCATTGCGAAATGGTTTTGCAAGATAGCACTACGCTTTTGGCAACTTAGCTGCGGCTGTCAGCACTTTGTATGTGAGTTTGCGAGAAGTGTATGTGCAAGACTACTCTCTGCAGGTATTGCCATAAAAGAGATCATGGTTAATGTGGTGAGTCACAGCCCCCTTAGTGGGTCAACACAAGCAATTAGTGTCAAATGTCCATGATGCACCAATGCTGATTACTGCCCTACTGAAAGGCTTAAGGCCACCTGAGCTGCAAAAACACAGGGGATTTGTTAATGTAAAAAAAGCTGCTAAATGCAAATCACACAAACATGCCACCATGTGTAACATCACTCGCAAAAAATAAAAGAGAAGTGAAACCACACAATGGATTGAAGCCAAACACTGCTCACAGTTGTGGGCTTCCCTGTATGTGCCCTGGACTATCCCTGGAGCAAGCCAAGTCTTCCAGGCAGCAGGGTCAGAGAGGCAAGCCTCAGCCCTGCAGATTCATCACCTCAGCCTGCCTCTCCTTCCCTCTGGAAAGTCAGTTTCAACAACCACAGAGCAGGAGGAGGAGGAGGAGGTGGATAAGGAGGGAGGGAGAGGAGATAGTGGGGATGGTGGGGAGGGCAGTGACGGCCTGTCTCCCATGCCGGCAGGACAAAATGCCCTGGCTCTCCAAGTATGGCACTGAATATAGTGTCAGAGATACTGTAGGTATTAAGATGGGAGAAAGGGAGATGGAGAAAAATCCCCAGTGAGATCAAAGCAGGAAGAGAGTACATCAAAACTACAAAGTGTCAATTTGAGCAACACAGGTTCTGAATACAATATAATTTATTAAAAAATAAACATTTATAAGCCAATCGTAATTAAAACATTAAGAGTGTTAGAAAGTCAGCTACATGAAAGCAAAAACATTGGATAAGTAACGTTTTAGAATTAAATTAAACATTGTTGGAACTATAATGTGTGACAATTCATTTAGCCTACAAGACAACATTAAGTCTACTTTTGTGATGTGTCCACACATGTACTAAATTAAAGCCCTCGTTTCACACACATCATCAGATTTAATTTCAAAGGCACGCCGGTCAGAGTCTGATTCATTCAATAAGAAACACACAAGCTTGTTGTATAGCCTTGCATGACTGTAGAGCCTCCGGCGTGATTGCAATTTCTGAAGTGTTGCGTATTGTCCGATATTGAGCAACCAACATCGTCAACACAATGAAATACGTACAGGACGTTGTGTCCCTCAGAGCGCATCTATTAGCGAGAATTATCAACATCAACGTAATCTTCCAGCAGCCGGCTACGTTACAAGGAAACATCCAGGAGTAATGTTAGTCTCGTGTTAACTGTCAAGCTCTCACAGAAGAGTTGTAGTACTCACCGTCCATTTTTTCAGTCTTTATGATTGTTAACGTCGGTTTCATATCGACAGCTGCCGTCATGACCATCAGTTCAGTGTGATTTAATAACGCCGCGTCCCTTTTTTTATTCTAACAGCTCCAAAAAACACAATATAAGGAAAAATCTTCTCTTCCTTTGGCGCCCCGGTCAATTCTACTGGCTGGTTGTTTTACCTTTTCTCTCACAGAAAAAAAAAACAACGATTCAGTTTCTTTAAGTCCTAACTTCTCTTTCCCTCTCTCCGGTACTTGTACACACACTCCCTCTTTTCCTCGTTCTTTCTTACACACTCACTCACTTCTTCCTCTCTATCTCTATGGGCGTTGCATTGCTGAGAGCCAGAGAGCGACGACAGCTGAAGGGGGCGGTGTTTGGGGCTGACTTGCCAGTTGATTCACAATTCAATTACAAAGCCCCCCACACCCCTCCCTCAAACACACACACGCACACACACATTATTACCACCTCCCCCTTGTGTCTGTGAACCTTCTTGTACCAAGACCCCCGCACGTCATCACATGCAGTTAAGAGTCTGCATGTTCCCGCAAATTACTCGCGTTTTACAGGGATGAGAAAACACCCTGGAGATGTGAGGTCTCCTCAGAATCATGGGAACTAACTGAAGTATTGCTTAATCACATTTCTTCCCAAATACAACAGCAAACGGTTTATTAAAAAAACTCCATCATACCACCTCACATGACAAGAAAATAATCAAGTTTTAACACATATAATATTATTATAACACCATAGGTTCCTAAATTAATTATCCACCTACAGTAACGTTCTGATATACTGCACATTTGATTTTGTTCACGTTTTCTTTCCTTATTGTACTTGTTTGTATATGTTGTATGTATATAAATATATATATTTTGTATTTATTTACAAATATATCTGTTTATTTTATAAAGCCATTTGTTTGCTCCTTTTTTCCAACCTAATTCCTCTCACGATATGTATGTATGTTCCATTTTACACTAAATAAATGTCCTTGTATGTGAACCTACTTGTCAATATGCCTGATTGTGATTCTGATACTGGAATAGTACAATCAAAAAAGCGAATGGAGTAGCCTACAACGCAATATTATAGCCTAAAGGAATGTGTTTTTAAAGTATTGTGATATATGAGGGTGAGTTTAAAAGCAATATGTATTTGGAGATGTTTTTAGATCCTAAAATAGCTACATACAAACAGTTTAGCTGATTTTTATGCGTGGACAATCTTTAACAAAAAGAAGATAAAAGGAAAGTCCGGCCTGTCTGTGCCCTAGATTCTGCCGGTCCAGGCTTCCTCATAACTTGTAACTCACCCTCATAAACACCTCGGAGTATTTCCTGTTCACCTTGTATTGATCAATAAAAAACATGTATTTTTTCTTTACGCAGCTGCATCAGTTAAGTAAAGTGCATCTTTACAATTGTTATGTCACAAGTATTGTTAAATTAAAATTAGGCATGTTAAAAATAGGTTAGTCATACTGTTATCAACATCAATCAAAGTGGGCCTGTCACTAAAGCAATCAATAAAAATTGAGTATGAACAGGGCCAACTGTCTGTCCTAATTCTCAGTTTGCTTTGCTTTTCTTTTTACTTTTGTTCTTTCTTATCTTCAATAATCAGGAACAATGACCATGCCTTACTGGAAATTGAATCATGAATTTGTTCTGCCACTGGAAAAGAACAAAGACAGTAGAAATACTGGGTGTTTTAGCCACAATGAGGCTCCACTCTGAGCAAACCACTGCCAGTAGGGAACAACTCCGTTAGCAACAGATGACCATAATAATAAATTATAATAGTTAAAATCACGTACATTCCTCTGAAAGCAGCATGATAACTGCAGTGATAGTCTGTTGTTCATTAATAAGAAAATGTAAATGGTTTTCTCCAAAGCTTCAGCCCCCTTTTTCCTGTAAATCCAACTACATCATAAGCGATCCTGTTAGAGTAAGTCAAATGGCACAACCTATGATGCACGCCAATGTGATACATCCGTATGAACTGTATGCATGTATGTATGGAGGCTGGGGAGCCAGGAATATTGATCACACATGGATTTTTCAACCGGTGGTACTTGGCCAGCTCCATTAGCAGCCCTGGATCAGGTTTCATTGGCCTGATAGGAGCCTCGTCTGGGAAGAGTGCTGGTGGGTTCTGTGGTGAGAGGGGCTGCCTCACCAGGGGCAAAGTAGAAGGGGTGATGGAGGATAAGAATGGAGGGAGGAACAGTACCTCTCACTTCATCTCTCAGTCAGTCTCTCACCCTCTCTGACTGGACCTCTTTGTTTTCTGTTAATGAACTCCCTCGTATCTGTTCTTAAAAGGACAGCCCGGGTCCTTTTGTGCCTAGGGGCAGCCATTAGGGGTTTAATGGTGTTGCTGACTAATATCTGGGCTGGCGTCACTGTAGCCCATTTGAGTATGGGTTTTCTTCTGTCTGTCTTCACTACTTTACATCAGACTATTTGAGTATTACACAAAAAGCATTTTTTGTACTGATTATTCTCAGAATGCATACCGAAACTAAGCTATTGAAGTGAAATTTCAATTGTAAATGGGGTGTATGAGGATAAACAAAGTTTTTGTATATCAAAACAGTGTGTTAAATGTCTCTCAGAGCAATGACCATTCTAGACAGCTTGGTGTACAATGACCTTGAATACAAACACATTTTCATTAACACAAGACTGTTGTGAGGAAAGAAATGTGTTATCAATAGTTTATCACCTCAATAATAAGTGTTGGAATTTGTGTAAAAGTTTTGCACATACATTTTTTTTATACAAAATATAAATAATATACTATTTACACAAAGGGATTATTAATTATCTCACACTGATAATACAACCAGTAGCAGTCATTGTAAGTACACTTGAGACTTACACTTTTTGGTTTCAATGTGTCTTTTCTTCACCTGGCAAATGCTGTTGCCATGGTTTTGACAGTTAGCTGGCTTCACTCATTTAGTGTTGCAACATAGCACCCTTTTCTAAAGCAGCTTTCTCTCTCCTGCTCGCTGTCTGTGTCTCGCTGGCACATCTGTGTTGTCTGCCTGTCTATAATCCCTAGATGTAACCGTTGCACCTGCTACTTTTCACAGAGTTAACTGAAAGGTTATTCGATTTAGAGCAATCCATACAGCTGTCAAGTGATATCAGTCTTTGATGCCTGTGCCCTCGCAGCAAGTCACAAGAGTATTTCCATTTCAGCCTGATGCTTTAATTCTCATTTACAAACCTAAAAGCTGAAATTATGACCTAGCTGACATAAACTATAAAACATCTCAGAAAGTGGATATGGTGGGTTTGGTATGTGTGAATTCAGCATGTAATCTCTCAGTCACTCATTTACAGACACTAGTAGACGCTCAGATGGCTGATTGACAAGCTCACACACGCACACACACACACACTGAAAGTGAGACAGAGAGAGCAGACAGTAACACAGTAAAACAGTGGGGTCCAATGTGGCCCCTGTCTAGTAGCTCAGTGTCAGCTCTATCTGTGGTGGAAGCAGCCTGAAGGTGCCACAGGCTGGATGCACTCCTGCTGAGATCAGAGAGTAAGCTGGGACAGGAGTATCTCTAAGTATGTGTGTGCTCATGCATGTGTGTACTGTGCTCATGTTCATCGTTCTCTTTTGCCTCACATTCCAAAGTCTCTTCTGAGAGCGTGTGTGTGTGTGTGTGTGTGTGTGTGTGTGTGTGTGTGTGTGTGTGTGTGTGTGTGTGTGTGTGTGTGTGTGTGTGTGTGTGTGTGTGTGTGTGTGTGTGTGCATGCGTGCGTGCGTGCATGTGTACGTGTGTGTTTGTATCAGTGAGTGCAAGTGTCTTTGTGTGCACGCTCTTTAAATTGTGTGCATGTAAGTGCACTGGGAAAGTAGCAGGGCCTCCCTGAACAAAGGCTCAGCTCTTTTCTGAACAATTAGCTCCGCTAAAAAGGACATCTCTTCCTCCATTAGCGGCACCACGTGCCCCCCATCACTCCATTGTGCAGATAATTCAATTATCCCCACCCCCCTTCGAGTCTCTCTGCCTCCCAGACCTCCCTCTTCTCATCTTGCCCTCCCTCCTCTCTGTTACCACCACGCTCTCAGATAAAGCTAATACTAAGACTGAGGGGAAAACACATCTGTCTGCAGTTTATATTAATTTGTCATTGAATATATTGGTTGTACATCATAATAATTAGAACAGTACACTCTGAAAAATATGAATGATACAGATGTGATTATACAGCTGCAGTTTGTTGTGTTTTGGTGAATAAATGTCCATTATTTTGAGTGCTTTTAGGGAGATATTGACCTTTACCTACAATAGGATGGACTCAACTATGTTCATGAATTCAACTATGAACGCACTTCACACACAGTAAGAGGTATTCACTCTTACCATCACCGGTGTACACTCATTACAGCTAACAGTCTGTGACTACTGCTATACTCATGATATAAACATTAAAACAATGGGAGGCCTCTCTTAGGATTCATTAAAGCGCCACCTTTCCTGATGAGTTGGCATCTGTTGCATCATCACCCGTCAGTGATTGCATGTGTTTTAGAACAATTTGTTCTCAAACTGAAGTGGTTTGTAATTAGTCACCAAGCCATCAAGAGGAACTTACCACACATTATCACTTGCTCGAAATAAAACTCCTTGAACTCTGGGAAAGGGAAGTTTAACTGTCGGAAATTTTGGATGATGCTTTGGAGCAGAGCATCTTATTAGATCGTTAAACATGGCAGCATGAAAGTGAGCCGTCTTTCATGAAGCAGGGTACAACTTTTAGCAAAGGAAAACACTTAAATATGTCTTAAGGTCAGGAGTATTAACATTGTGGGGTAGAAATGCCAGAGTGACTCAACTGTAAATGCCGATTTCACTGCAACCACTTCTCAGAAGTCTAATGTGGAAACTCAAACTTCAGATGTTTAAAATTACTTCAACATGAACAAATGCACGAGGTACTGTAGTAGTAACAGATTGCTTCTTTCCTCTGTTTATTGACTAACACCCCTTGCTACAGAACTGTCATCACACTATGCAGTTCAAATCTAGGACCATGGCAGCGTTGAAGCCCATTCCTCCATAGTTGTCTGTCGCTTTTCCGTGTTTCCCTCTTGTTTTGTTTTATTGTTGGAGGGGGAAGTGTGCGCCGGCCTGATTAGCATCACTATTTCCTCCTTTCCCATAACCCCCCAGACCCCCGCAGGCTGCCTGTTTACTTTTAGAAATAAAAAATGGGCCTGCGCCCGTGAGGACGTGCCCCTCATCAGAGGCG